CTCTACATCTTGATTCTAGTTTGACTAAGTGTTTAGTTGTGGGTGTTTGCTTCTGTTTCAAACAGGTTCAAGATGAGAGCTGCATGATGGGGGATGAATTAGTTGTTGATCTCACTATCCGAGAAGGGCATTTATGGTAGCCTTTCCACAGTTGCTCCAATTGTTATTTGGCAGCAGTCTTGAAGGCCTCTAGACCTTTCTTTAGGTTCATTTTTCTCTTCAAACCCAATAATGGCTCCCCCTTGTATGTCTGGTCTCTCTTCCTCTCCATCTCTCTCTCTCCGTCTCTCCCTCTTCTGTCTTTTATTCCTACCCCTGACTCGCACGTGCTTTCCTCTCCTCACCTTCTTTCTCCTACTTCTCTCTCTACTCACTGCCCAACACCCCCCTTCCCATGTGCACTGGAGGACTAGTTCCCCCCTTCTGTGAGGGATATTGTATGACTCTCTTAGAATACAACTTGTTTCCTCATTCTTTGGAGGTGTGAATTATAGGCTGGTGATCCTTTGCTCTAGATCTAAAATCCATATATGAGCGAGTACATACCATTTTCATCTTTTTCAGACTGTGTTACCTCATTCAGGATGGTTCCTTCAACTTCCGTCCAATGCCTGCGATTTTCAAGATTCCATTATTTTTTTCTGCAGAGTAGTATTCCATTGTGTAGATGTGCCACATTTCTTTATCCATTTTTCAGTTGAGGGATATCTAGGTTGCTTCCAGGTCATTGCTATTACAAATAATGCTGAGATAGTTACCCAGAAATTTGTCCATTTCCTTTGAATTTTCAAGTATTGTGGAATACAGGTTTTCAAAGTATAACCTGAAAATTGTCTGGATTTCCTCTTTGTCTATTGTTATGTTCCCCTTTTTGTTTCTGATTTTGTCAATTTAGTTGTTCTTTCTCTGCAATTTGGTCAGTTTGGAGAAAGTTTTGTAGCTTGTTGATTTTATAAAAAAACCAACTCTTTGTTGCTTTGATCTTTTTGTATTGATTTCCTGGTGTCTATTTTGTTGATTTCAGCTCTCAAATTGATTATTTCCTGGTGTCTACTCTTCCGGGCTGAGTTTGCTTCTTTTTGTTCTAAGGATTTCAGTTGTGCTGATAATTCTCTTATGTGACTATTCTCTGTTTTCTTCATATGGGCACTTAGTGCAATGATCTTCCCTCGTAACACTGCTTTCAAGGTGTCCCATATGTTCGAGTATGTTCTGGTCGAGTTTTAGGAAGTCCTTAATTTCTTTCTTTATATGTTCTTTGACCCAGGTGTGGTGCCACTGCACATGTTCAGTTTCCATGGGTTTGTAGGTTTTCTGCCATTTGTGTTGTTGTTGATTTCCAATTTTAATGCATGGTGGTCTGTTAAGATATAGCTGACACTCCAATTCTCTTGTACCTATTGAGGTTTGTTATATTGCCTAGTATGTGGTCCATTTTAGAGAAGGTTCCATGTAGAGCATAGAAGAAGTTATATTCTTTGTGTTTGGAGGGAAAGTTCTATAGATGTCTGTTAAACCCAGTTGAGACTTCTGTTAGTTCTTTTGTTTCTTTATTAACTTTCTGATTGGTGGTCCCCTCTGTTGGTGAGGCTGGTGTGTTTAAGTCTCCTACTATAAGTGTGTGAGGTTTTATGTGAGGTTTGAGTTTTAGTGGTGTTTCTTTTATGAATGTGGGTGTCTTTGCATTTGGGCCATAGATGTTCAGAATTGAGACTTTGTGTTGATGGACTCCTTGTGATGGATATGAAATGACCATCTTCATCTCTTTTGATTAATTTTTGTTTGAAGTCTAACTTATTAGATACTAGGATAGCCACACCTGCTTTCTTCTTGGGTCCATTTGATAGGAAGATTTTATTCCCAACCATTTACCCTCAGGTAATGTCTATATTTGAATCTTAGATGAGTTTCTTGTAGACAACAGAAGGATGAATTCTGTCTTTACATCCATTCTGTTAGCCCGTGTCGGGCTGGATTTGTAGATACATATTGTGAAAATGTGGCTTTGTCAATAAATATCTTCTTTACTACATCTATAGTGATTGAGAGTTTTGCTGGGTATAGTAGCCTGGGCTGGCATCCCTAAACTCTTAGAATTGTAAAACATCCATCCAAGACCTTCTTGCCATGAGGGTTTCCATGGAGAAGTCAGGTATAGTTTTGATAGGTCTGCCTTTAGATGTTACCTGTACTTTTTCCTTCACTGCTCTTAGTATTCTTTCATTATTCTGTATGTTATGCGTTTTGATTATTATATAGGTCTGCCTTTAGATGTTACCTGTACTTTTTCCTTCACTGCTCTTAGTATTCTTTCATTATTCTGTATGTTATGCGTTTGTTGGCGCCGGCCGCCCCCGCGCTCCGTTGCGTTTTGATTATTATATAGGTCTGCCTTTAGATGTTACCTGTACTTTGTCCTTCACTGCTCTTAGTATTCTTTCATTATTCTGTATGTTATGCGTTTTGATTATTATATGTCGAGGGTTTTTTTCCTTTGGTCCAGTCTATTTGGTGTCCATTATGCTTCTTGTACTTTCAAGGGCATGTCCTTCTTCTGATTGGGAAAGTTTTCCTCAAAGATTTTGTTGAATATGGTTTCAGCACCTTTGAGCTGGGCTTCCTCACCTTCCTCTATGCCTATTATTCTTATGTTTAGTGTTTTCATGGTGTCCCACACTTCTTGGATGTTTTTTGTTAAGGATTGGTTGGATTTACAATTTTCTTTAGTCGATGAATCTATTTCCTCTAGTTTATCTTCCGCGACTGTGATTTTCTCTTCCATCTCTTAAATTCTGTTGGTTATGCTTGCATCTGTAGTTCCCTATCATTTGACCAGTTTTTCTATTTCCAGCATTCCTTACGTTTGTCTTTATTTTCTCTATTTCAGATTTCAAGTCTTGAACCATTTCCTTCACCTGCTTAATTGTTTTATTCTTGGCTTTCTGTACTTTCTTTATTTTCCTTACAAATTTGTTCATTTCTTCCAATTTTTTGTTTGTTTATTCTTCCATTTCTTTGAGGAATTTTCTCATATGTTCTTTGAGGCCCTCTATCATTTTTATGATTATAATATTGAAGTCGTTCTCTTCTGCTTCATCTGCCTTGTGTTATGGTCTGGTTTGTGTAGATTCCCTAGATTCTGCTGGTGTCATGCTTGTCTTTCTGTTAGGTGTTTTGTTGCATTGCCATCTTCCCACAGCTTATTCCGGTAGGTGTCTCTGTCTCTATGGTACTTCCCCAATGGGCTTTGTTGGGTCAGATGTTGGATGTCTGTAGGTCTGGGTGGTCCAAGCTCTCTAGGAGTTTTTACTGCAGGCAGGGGCCTGACAATGGTTATCAATGATCAGGCTCCAGCAAAAGACTGGAGCTGGGAGTCAAAGATCTCAAATGTTGCAACTCCGGGTGTTCCTTAAGCTGATAGGCAGATCTAGCCTGAGCCTTGCACTCTAAAGCTGAGGCCTCCTTAGCAGAGGCCCTGCGATGGGTGTCCTGATTATACCATCTCAAACATGCCTGTGCTGTACTTTGATCATATTCTCCTGGAGCCTTTCGATCCTTCCTGCATATCTTTGTGACAGATACCAAGACTTTGGAAAAAGCTCAGTTTCCCTGCTTGCTCCTGACCCAGACAACTCAAAATAGATCTGATTTCAGTTTGTGTATCTGCTTTGTTTTATGTGAAACTATATCTGGTTCTAGCTACCTTATTTATAACACGGGGGTTCACAACTCAATGTGCTTAGAGTGTGGGCTCCTCCCCAGAGTCTCCTTATATGCTATGCCATTGTTAATTTGTTTTGTGTGAAGTCCAATCCTTTTCCTGTGTGAGTCCATTACGTCGTGAATGAAGGGATCTGTCATGTTTTGCTGAGATGAATGTAAAGTACACAGGAATCTCCGAAATGATTTTCTCATCTATGTTCATTGAGGAAAGGAGTTTAGTGTTTATTTGTGTGCTCATTTGCTTGGTGGCTCAAGGCAATACTGACACTGGGATCATTTGTCAGACATTCCTTTCCTTTTTCTTTCAAGAAGTGTTTTCTTCTTGAACTGGTGTTTGTCTTTGCGGTTCTATTCCTGCCACAAACACAATGACCAACAAGAAAGTTCATCATGAAAGGGGTTAAGCTGCTTACACATACAAGGTGGCTGTATATCTCTAAGAAAGTCAGGACAGAAACTCAAACACAGCAGGTTCCTTGAGGCAGGCACTGATGCAGAATCCATGGAAGGGTGCTACTTCCGTTCTTCATCAGTCTGCTTTAGAATAGAAGCCAGGACCACAAGTCCAAGGGTACCACTCACTCTGGGATTGGCCCTCCCGCATTGATTACTGATTGAGAAAATGCCTAAAAGCTGTGTATCCTGGAGGTCTCTTCAACTGAGTTCCACTCCTTTCAGATGGCACTATTTGTGTCAGGTTTGCACACTATTAAGTCCAGGACAGTGTACATTCACATCCAAAGTTTTTATAGAATCAATGAATCCAAGAGGCCAGGGCTTTGGGCTTTGCTTGGTTTGGAGCCAGTTTGTTACCATCCACACTTGTTTCTCAAGGAATTCTTTACATTCTTTCTAATTTTCTGTGATTTAAGAGTTGAAACATCCTTAAAAATCCTTCTGGATTGTAAGATTCTTAGGATAACAAAATTTCCCTATATTTTGTACCTACTGTCTCTTAATCAGATTGGCCAAGGGTTCTCATTCTAATGCATTCTTGACCATGACACACATCATGATTCCTTTCACCCAAGTATTGTCTTTTCCATATACATAGCAGTGATTCCACTCTATTTTATGTTTATGATGATTTCTCTTCAAGTGTTTTGTGTTGGGATCTTATAGTATTTGAAGTGTGCCATCATTAGGACTTTGGGTGCATCATATATTTTTTGATATGTCATATTTCACAGAAGATAATTCATAGCATTGGACCACCATGTAAAATTGCTTTCATTTCTGTTTCTAGCATTGATTGCACCACAAATTATCAAGATAAAATGGGTGAAATTCCAGTAAGCATCATGGCCAGCCACTTGGAAGAGGACATCCTCCAACAGGACTTCAGAATCTTAAAATCTCTAGATTTTGGTTCATTTGGGGAGGTGAAGCTTGCATGCCATCTTCCTACAAATACACAGGTTGCTGTCAAGGTGCTGGAGAAAAATCCAACTGCTGTGACTGACAACACCTCTGAAATAGAGATCCTTCAGTCTTTGGAACATAGAAATATAGTTCGATTTTTTCATGCCATTGACACAGTGAACATGACTTATGTTGTTATGGAGTATGTTCCTGGAAAGAATTTGGAGATGTTCCTCAGGAACGTAGCCTATCTGACAGAGGATGAAGCTAGACCAATATTCCAACAGGTGGTGACTGCGGTGCACTTTCTCCACCAAAGACTCATTGCACATCGTGATATTAAATTGGAGAATATCCTTATCGACAGAGCTGGAAACGTCAAGCTTTGTGACTTTGGATTGGCCATTCAGCTCAAAGAGGGGCAGATGTTGAAAGAGAGCTGTGGCTCCTTGCACTATATGGCTCCAGAGATCTTGGCAGGGAAACCCTATGATGGGCTGGCAGTTGACATGTGGAGCTTGGGAGTTGTCCTGTATGTGCTGGTCACAGGACAATTTCCATATGAAGAAAGGACTTATCATGGTATGCATAAGGTCATCAGCAAAACAAAATATCCACTTCCCTACCACCTATCAAAGCCCTGTTGCCAAACCATTGGACGATTACTCGCAGTCCCGACCAGGCACAGGATAACAATAAGTCAGCTCCAGGAAAGAAGATGGCTGGGCCACATTAAAGATCATGTAGAACCAGCAAAGAAGGAAATCCTTCTGAGGGTCATAGACATATTGTGCACCAGTGGCTATAGCTGTGAAGAAATCGTGTCAACCCTAACTCACAGACAACCAAATACTAAATTAGCAGCGACTGTCAATATACTTAAACATAAGTTGATCTCTGGGGAGTGTCATCAGGAAAATGGGAATTCCTGTTTAAACAACAGCTGTGTAGGAGCTCTTCAGCCCCTTTTCCCGTTGAAGAGGACCGCCAGTGTACCTTCCATTCATAAAATTATACAAGCTGGGAATTATAACTTCGAGGAGGAAGGTGAAGAAGGAAAAGCCAAGAGATTCCAAAGTGAAAACATGCTCGACAAACTCTCCTGCTTAGAGATGTTGCCCAGTTCAGAGGAAAGACTCAAGAAAGGAAATGATTGGATGGCTAATGTCATCCACAGTGCTACCAGGTACTTTGCAATGCACATGAAGTGTGTTGACAGCCAGCCTTGTGATGGCACCACATGTGAATCAGGTCTGCATGCAACACCGACAACGATTTTGAGCACGATCTCCTCTTCACAGCAACCACCCTTGAGGACCAACATGTCCAATGACCAGGCTCAGGTACCACCCACAATCTCAGGATCGAGGGCATTCAGGGCCTGGAAACTGATAAAGAAACGATTATCCCATGCGCTCAGAGAACTGTGCTGTCTTCCTGAACCATTTCCTGGAGAATCCTGGACCCTCTTGTAACCTACAAACAAACAAACAAACAAAAAAAAAAAGACAGAAAAAAAAAAAGAAAAAGAAAAAAATTGAGTGTATAAAAGACCTGTGTGCTCTGGCCATCAAAATGTTTTCCTCTTTATTAGTTTGTCTATGTTAATTTAATAAAGAACCTACTGTTAATGACAAGAATCTGCCAGAAGTAACCAAACTAAGACATTTAGCAATAATGGAGAGGATGACCTAACTGGTCTAAGCTTTCAATTAGATTGAGGTTTTGGTCAAGAATCATCATCCAGTCATCATTCCATAACTGACTGAAGCAGATGATGAGATCGGCAACCAAGCAACAGGCCAACCTCTAGGAAGACAGTTCACGACAGGAAGGAGGGAATCTATGAGCCAGGAAGATCAAGACCATGATGGAGAATGCTCCAGAGACAGCTCAATCAAGCTCATGGAAATCATGAGCTCTAGTCCAACAGCTCTGGACACTTCAGGGGTCTGAACCTGGCACTCTGTACTCATAAAAAATTATGGAGCTTGGACTATTGAGGATGTCTGACAGTGGGACAAGGGTCAAATCTTGGTACTTGAGCTAGCTAGGTGCCTCCCATTCCCTATCCTGGGTTGCCATGCTCAGACAAAGTGCTTAGCAGAGGTACCTGTGCTGCCCCTTCTTAATGTGCCAGACTTTGTTGAATCCTCGTGGGAGCCCTTCCCCATGAGATGTGGACTGGGGGAGCCAAGTGGTTGGGTAATGGTGGGTACAGTAGCAATGACTGAGTCTAGAATGTAAAATCAAAATTAAAATAATAAACAACTTACTAAAAATAGAAAGCATCCTAGCACAGTGTCTTCATACAGTTCACAACCCTGGGTTGGTATCTTGACCTCTCACATGAAATCATCTCCGAATCCCACTGACAAACCAGGACTATGTGTCTCCACAGCTGAGCCTCGTGCAGCACACATCTAAGAAAGGATAGCCAAGCCATGAACTTCATGCCCAGGCAAAGCAATACAAGTCGGTTGGAAGAAATTAACCAACAAAATAAACCCAAAAGACTAATCCCCTTTACAAACACAGAGCTAACATGAGAAATCCTAGACACCCTTGAGTCTCCCCAAATGACCAATAGGCCAAGGGAAAGGGTCCCTGAAACAAAATCTTTGAAGGAATCGTTGTAAATATATTCAGATAACTCAAAATAGCATGATAAACCCATGAAGCAAGCAGGACAGTGGTGGTGTTCGCCTTAAATCTCAGCACTCCTTAGGCAAAGGCTGATGTACCTCTGTAATTTCTAGGCCAGCCTGGTCTACAGAGTTAGTTCCAGGACAGCCTTCAAAGGTACAGAGAAACCCTGCATCCAAAATCCAAACTGTCAAAATAACCAAAAATAAATTAAAAAGCTAAAAACCTCATGATGCATAAGAGAGATTAATTTGCCTTTTTAAAATCATAGTGCTGCTGTTTGTTGATTTTTAAATGTTGAGAGAAGGTTTTGTTAGACAAATTTCCTAGATTGGTTCTCTTGAGTGGAATTTGGGACAGTAGAACTTGTATGGATTATTAGACTGCCAGCAGCACCTAGAGAAATGTAATTATGTTTACAAAATTAGCTGGACATCTAAAATTTCAAAGTTCTTATTTCCAACATGGAATTCCATGGTTCCATTTAATGAAAATATGCCTTTACAAGTGTTGGAATATGTGTGATTGTCACCTATGTCTATGCTACCCCAGTGCTAAACAGCACTTTTAAAAGAATCCTATTCATTGATTTACTTTGTGTAGTGGTGCTCTGACTATGAGTAATTATGGACTGTTCACAGGGGTGTGCACCTCCCATGTGCACTGTCACCATACCATAGAAGAGAATGGCAGATTCACAGAGGAGATTTAGAGATCATCGTGATCCTCTGTGAGTGTAGATGTGTGTAGGTAGAAGTGTAGACATAGAGAATATCTGCTCTGTACAGTCTTTCTTCATCAGCATTACTCAAATAAGAGTCACCAGGTAATAGGGAACCACAATTGAGGAATGTTCTCAATCAGATTGTCTTACCAGCATGTTAGTGGAGCATTTTGTAGATGGATAAGTTTCAAAGCCACTGTCTCCAGATCAGGCTAACCTGCAACCCCGTATTTTCCTTAACTGAAATTGCAAGAGAAGAGGTCTCTTGGTAGGTATAGAGGTCTTTCCCTGTTGAAACCTCTAGCATCCTAATAATGACATGGAGATTTATAATTAAGTGTGAAAGCTTGGCCAATTGCTTAGGCTGATTCCTAACTAGTCTTTATAACAGTAATTAATCAATGTCTTTTATCCTGTGTTCCTATACATGGATCAGTTACCTTTACTTTGCAGTGGCCATGCTATTTGTTCTGAGTCTGGTGTCTCTGCCCTTTTCCTCAGAACCCTCTGTGCCTGGAAATCCCAGCTTTTAAGTAAACAGATCAGAGTGTCACAACTTCACAGAGTACTAAAGGGTTCTTCCACATCAGAGGTCCCAAATGACTGTCTTTATTCCTCATGAGTAGAATTAAGGAAAGTTCATGTAGGAAGGTAGGCAGAGGATCCCAATTGTAAGATTCACCTTCGTAGGCTGCAGAGCTATGTCTGCTGGAACCTCCTCCAGAGCTCCATGGACTGAGCTTGTAACAGGCCTACAGACAGGATCGTCTATTCATTCTCAAAACTCCCTGATGCTTCAAAGAGGACCAGAAAAATGTACATACAATTAAAGAAAGGCACACTGGGCCAATTATCATTATTCCCCACTTGAGCTGTACCATCCCAGGTTACCAGCAATCCTCGGTACTGGGAAGTAAAGCATCCCCTTGATTGTCATGTGGAGATATTCAGCAGCATTTTATATACACACATATTTGTTAATTGAACTCTTCAAAACACCAAAGTATCCTTGGCACTGTTTCCAACTCAGTTTCTTCCCACCTATGCCAGGCTTAACCACACTAGCAAATAATCCATGTGCCTTTGACCTCTCAATCCAGAAGACAGACAGACAGACAAATTGAGGTCTCCGTATCCTATGTTCCTCAAAGTCAAGGCTATCTAAAGAAGGAGGGACATGGACTAATATTTCAACAGGTTGTGTCAGCAGTGCACATTCTCCAACAAAGACTCATTCCATATCATGATATTAAGTTTGGAGAATATCCTTATTAACTGAGATGGAAAAATCAAAGATTGTGAATTGGGAATGACAACTCATCTCACAGAGGGGCAGACATTGGAGGAGGTCTTGCATCATAGCCCAATATATCTCCAGAGTCCCTGGCTGAAAAAAACTCTATGATTGTATGGTTGCCTCATGTGGAGCTTGGGAGTTGTGCTTTATGTACTTCTCACAGGACAATATCCATATGAAGAAAACATAGCCCGTGCATTGTAGAGCCTCATCACCGCCATAAACTTTGAGTTCACTACCATCCATCTAGACCCTGTCATATCATCTTTGAAGAATTAGACAAACAAGCAGAGGATAACAGTATGTCAGCTTGAGCAAAGGAGATCGCTCAGCCACACTGAAGATCATGTAGAACCTGCTCAGAAACAAATCCTTCCCAGGGCCAAACAGAGCATGAATACTATTGGCCATCCCTGTGAAGGGATTTTGTAATGCCTAAAACACAGGCAACCAAATAATAAAGGAAAAGGAGCCTTCCCTATTCCTTGTTCAGGTCAGCTGTCACTATGTGTTTTTGTAGCCTGCTCTTGTCCTTGCTCTCTGCATCTGGATTTTTGTTCGGGTCAGTGTTTAGCTGTGGGTGTTTGCTTCTGTTTCCATCAGCTACTAGGTGAGGGCTCTAAGATAGTGGATAAGTTAATCCTCTCTCTAATTATCAGGGAAGGGAATTAATGATAGCTCAAATTGTTAGTTGGGTTCAGTCTTTAGGTCTGTGGATATTTCCCTACATTCAGATTTGTCTTCAAACCTATAATGGCTCCCTCTTTATGGTCTCTATCTCTCTCTTTCTCTATCTCTCACTCTCTCTCTCTCTTCTCTCATATCTTTCTCTCCTCACTCAATCTTCCTAGTGTCCTGTGATTTCCTCTCCACCCCTTCTCTTTCTCCTAGTTCCCTCTCCACTCACTGCCCCCACAACTTCCCATATGCTAAGGAGATCTTGTGACTTTCCTTATCTGGGAGGGACCATATATGAAACTCTGAGATTACTCCTTGTGTCCTACTTTCTCTGGTGGTATGAATTATAGGCTAAATTATATGTCTAAAATAGGTGAATTATTTGTCTAAAATCCATATATGAGTGAGTACATACCATGTTCTCCTTATTGTGAGTGTTTTACCTCACTCAGAATGGTTTATTCAATTTTCATCCATTTGCCTGTGAATTTCAAGATTCCAATGCTTTTTCCACTGAGTAGTATTCCATTGTGTAGATGTGCCACATCTTCCTTATCCATTCTTCAGTTGAGGGGCATCTTGGTTGCCTCCAGGTTCTTGCTATCGCAAATAATACTGCTATGATCATAGTTGAGCACATGTCTATGTTGCATGGATATGGATGATTTGGGTATATGTTTAAAAGGGGGATTGCATGGTCTTGGGGTAGACTGATTCCGATCTTCCTGAGGAACTGCCATACTGATCTCCAAAATGGCTGTACCAGGTTTCACTCCCACCAGCAGTGGAGGAGTGGTTCTCTTTCTCCTCATCCTTTCCAGCATAAATTGTCAGTGATGTTTCTAATTTTAGCCATTCTGAGAGGAGTACATTGGTATCTCAAAGTTGTCCTCTATTCAGCTCTGTTCCCCATTTTTAATAGTATCATTTGGTGTTTTGGTGACTAGTATCTTGATTCTTTGTATATTTTTGAGATCAGTCCTGTGTCAGATGTAGGATTGGTATAGATCTTTTCCCAGTTGGCAGGCTGCTCTTTGGTCTTGGCCACTGTGTCCATTGCCTTTCAGAAGCTTCTCAGTTTGAGGAGGTCCCATTTATTAATTATCTGTCTCAATGTCTGTGATATCAGA